TCGCTTATTTCTGTATAACATACAACTTAATTGTGTTTTTGTTTAAAAACCCAAGCACCGGAATCAAAAATCGGAGACTGTTTCAAATGTGTTAAATAAATATTTTGAAAAACATATTAGTGTGTGAGTTCTGAATTCATGTTACGCGTGAAAGCCTGGAGAATAAAAAGTGTTAAATTTTTCCATTCGCTAATTCAATTATCCTGAGAACCCTCGGGCGACATAGTATAATAGCAAAATGTTACAAAACCATTGGCCTTGTATTATTGTGCTGAAAGTTAAATTTAGTGTGTTTGTCTTTCATAAAGTCCGATAGTGCAAATAACGACGTTAAAGTTCCAGGAAGTCATCGCTTATATTTGGGGCTTACAAGCTACGCCAAACCGACAAAAAAAAAGAAATCTAATAAAAACTAGAGATAATAAAATAAATGAAAAATGCATTTAGAAAACAATCATTTTGCGTTGCCCGAATCACATACATGGAGAGGAATAAGGATTTGTTGGTGTATAAACAAGATTTCGTCCATAATTTTATTAAGGCTCATTCTTCAAATTGAAGCGGCATTCACAAATGTTTTAATTGGTTTGTGATTTGAATTACAATTTTATGCATTTACATATACACTTTTAAACGAAAATATTGGATAGTAGTTTTATTACCGCATAAAACCCACTTCGAGCCTATAATATATATTTTTCACTATGGACTTATAATAAGTTAAATTTCTTACTTTCAGACGATAAGATGAAAGTAGTAACATCTGAGAGCCACATTACGTTTACTCGTTTACTAGTTTTTAGGTTATCGCATCAAGTGAGGTCTTCAGCACTTTTGTTTTCGTTGAAGAATGAAAAACTTATGGAAATGTCATGCTATGCTTTTGCGGCTAAAGTTCTATAAAGTTTTTAATCCAGCTCAGAGTTACCTCTTCACAGCCGGGGGGGGGGAGCGTGTGGGCTAAGCCAACAAATTGAGGAGGAACCGTTTACATGAGTTCCTGTATACAACATACATCCCATAGTTTCCTCTGGGACCAGGATTCAAGTCTCTGCCAGGGTTCCATGCGTGCCTGTTCTCCCTCTGTCTTCGAGGGGTTTTCTCAGTTTCCCTCTGCACCCCAAAAACATGCTGAGGTTAAATAGAGTTGCCAAATTGCCCGTAGGTGTGCATGTGTGAGTGTCTGGTGTGTAGGTGTGCCCTGCGTTGGGATGGCGCCCCATACTGGGTTGTTCCTTGCCATGCGTAGGTAGCCTGGGGGAGGAGCTCCGGAACCCCGCGACCCTGAATCGGATAAGCGGTTACAGAAATGGATGGAATGTAATCCAAAACCAGTTTGCAGGTAGGGCTAAGTACTAACATTTACAAAGGTGATACTTGGGGAATAAAGGTAATACATTGAAGAGAAACCCGGACTAAATAAACAATAAAATACTGGAGGCTAATAGAAGAGGAAAGCTGAAGACTGTAACCTCTTGCTTTCTACTCCGCGCACCAAATAAAACACCATGTCCACAAACACGGTCAGCACATCGGTGCAGTGGCTAGTACCATGGGCGTAAATTACGGGGAGGATGAGGTTGTAGTCCCACCAATAAATCAAATCCAGCTAATACAACCCCCCCAATAATCATGTTTCCCCCGTAATCGGTGGAGACCTCAACCCCCTCCCCCCAATGTTCCAGCCAAAGTTACGCCCTTGGCTAGCACTGTTGCCTCCCATTTCAAAGACCTGATTTCGATTCTGTGCTCCGACTCAACGTGTGTATATAGCTTGTAAATTCAGCCAAATTGTATGTAGGTAGGAATGGGTGCGCAAACCTTCGATGGGAAGGCGCAACAATCAACGCTAGGTTTTTCGCCCGGAAGATGAAACAAATCAACCCAACAAATCATTCATTCGGATAAATTGACCAAAAATTAATACAATTAAAATGAATTGCTATTTGACATTAACACAAGCCAAATTTTCAAATGTAACTTTACTGTATTATTTTATATAATTGAACTGCATATGTTGAAATATCATTTTCATCTGACCAGCAGGGGGTGCAATCGCATTTGATTAGGACCGCTGTGACCCTACATAAGACAAGCGGCTACACAAAATGGGTGGATATAGTTTTTTTTAAATTACGTGTTGCAATGATTATGACTTTATGTTCATTTGTCTGGAGTAGCGGCAATTTAATTTCACTGCTGGTGAACCAGTACATTCATGTAGGCCTATGTGACAAATAAAATTTTTGAATCTTATCCAGGAAAGTTATTGTAAATTATATTCCTCTAATTTCTTGTAGTATTTCACTGAAACAAACCAGACAGGTATGACTACTTCATTTTGTTTTATTTTTCCAAAACACTCCTTCGTCAGTATGCATGTAGAACAAGGGTTCGAATAGCCTCGTCTACTGAACCAGGTGTGTAGCCACATAGCAGAATTGGCTGTCGGAAACCCCCCTGGAACCCTGCTCACTACGACATAGCGGTGCCACTTCTCCTTTCACCCCCTCCCGGGATTCCCGGTATCTCTGATACCCTAAAGCAATTTGCCGAAAACGGCGGGGATAATGTCCCCTAATTAACACCTGGACCACACCCTACAAGCGACATTAAATACTGCTCTGTTTTTTGGAATGAAACAGTTAACTAGTGCATTTAAAGTTGAAGGACAGCCTTGAATTTGACTATGCCATCATCACACAACCAGTTAACAGGATGTCAGACATGCTCCGTTACATACTCTTTCCATGTTATAAAGGAAACTTGTTTTGACTTATATTTTCATTTACAGTTGTTCACTCAACTTTTCAGTGTTTAACAAGAATAAAAATTCTGTTTTTGGAAACAGCTTTTTTCATAATACAGGTACTTCTTTTCATAATAATGGTTCGCTCTGTCAAACACTTTCACATTTCACTATACTGCCTGTCTTTTTGCATGTTTCTGTTGCAAAATATCTGCCCCCTCCTGCCTGATGGATTATCACTACTGTATGCATGAACCAACCGCGACTATCTATGTCCACGGACAAATGTACTTCAAACACAAGATTCCGTACGCATGACTGGTCACAGACCAAAAGCACACGCGATAAAGGTATTAACCAGCCTTTAGGTGGTGTAAGGTAAAAGCGATTATTTATATATATAAATATATATATATATATATATATATATATATACACACACACACACACACACACACACATACACACACACTTTCAGAACTGACAACTCTCATGCATCTGGCATAACACTCGGTCTTTCACGCCCACGCAAACCCTTGCAAACTATTCAGAAGGTAATAAACCTGTTACATGCATGGAAATTGGAGCTGCATTGTACCGAAATGAAAATATCATGCATAGTCTGTTGACTATGGATTCAAGTTGGCAAACAGGGAAAGAAAAAAGAATGAAGTTTGATGGGAAGTTCCATCCATGAAGTCGTTTCGTCTTGAGGAGGTGGAGAGAAACTACCCTGGGAATATATAACAAATGTCAGCCCAGGGAGGGCAAGACTCCTCTCTGTCCTGCTTTCTGCGTTGCTCCTGAGAAAGCTACACATTGAAGAGAAGACTCACAATGGCGTGTATGGGAAAGGAGCTTCAAGGATTGGCCCTGGCCATCATCGGATTTCTCGGGGTCATCATCGTGTGCGTCCTGCCCATGTGGAGAGTGACTGCCTTCATCGGAGCCAACATCATGAAACCGCAAATCATCTATGAAGGCTTGTGGATGAATTGCGTGACCCAAAGCACAGGGCAGATACAGTGCAAGGTCTACGACTCCATGCTCGCCCTGCCCCAGGACCTGCAGGCCGCCCGCGCCCTGGTTGTCACCTCCATCATCATGGCCCTTAATGCCACTCTGCTGGCTGTGGCTGGTGGAAAATGCACCAACTGCATTGTGGATGAAGCTTCAAAGGCAAAGGTAACCATCGGCAGTGGCGTTGCCTTCATCATCGCTGGTGTCCTCTGCCTCATCCCAGTCTGCTGGTCAGCTAATACAATCATCCAGGATTTCTACAACCCTTTGCTGACAAAAGTCCAACAGAGATTGCTGGAAGCCTTACTGCACATTGGCGGGGGAGCTGCTGGTTTGCTGATCCTAGGTGGTGGCCTGCTGTGTACCTCGTGCCCCCCTAAGGAGGACAAGGGCTAAATTGTTAAGTACTCCCAGCCAAGATCGACGGCTGATAG